ACCCATAAAACAGCAAACGGCCACATAATGCAAAATGGAGACATAGAAATATTTATTTGCGAAATTTTCGGCAACTCCTGTTACCTTCGTCAGCGCTTGAGTATCTACATAGATACTCAAGCGCTGACGAAGGTAACAGAAGTGTGTGTACCACGTTACTTTAGCAAACCAAAGAGCAGAATGTCGCAACTCTTTATATATATGGCTCTGCATCTTGGTAGTCTCTTCTTCATTTTGATTATTAAATATTTTCATTGGGGCCATTTTTACCTGCCTGTCATTTGAGGCCATTTTCACCCGGGTAATTTTTACTGGGAACATTTTTACCGAGGCCATTTTTACCGTGCACCGTACTGTTGTACTGGTGAGTTTCAACTCTCCCCTTCAACAGAAATGCCACCTGTCCCTCAATCAAAAATAAAGAAAAAGTAAATGCAATACATTTTTACTATTAAAGTTAATAATATATAGTAATAGCCTACGAATGTTATAAAAATTTAAAATAAATTAAAAAAATAAAAAAAAATTTTCATTGGAGTGGGTAGCCCAATGGAAATAAGCTGGAATGATATTTACCGGCTTTTTTTTTTTTTTTTTTTTTCCAAGGAAGACTTCCGTACGTTTTAATTCATGTTTTTCTATTGTAATGTTTATATGTGTTCAGTGCTTCAAAAAATTCAAATCAAATCCTAGTTGTGGTCAAGCGCTTAAAACTTACTAACACACTCAAAAGCTGAATTTCATACATCTAATACAAAAAAGAGTCAAATACGACGACTACGTAGCACTGAGAAATTGTCAATGAATAGGCATGGGAAGAACAGCAGCGACGGGAATGGTATGTTTTTCAATTCAAACAGCGTTGGAGGGGGAAAATAATAATAATAATAATAATAATAATAATAATAATAATAATAATAATAAACAATATTAGTAAAAATGAGAAGATATCTAATAAATAAGCGTATGATACGGTACTGTAATAATTGGCAACTGAAATTATTGTATATTATTATGTTCATTTCAGATGTGTATTCTTTGATTTATTTTAAACAAAAACTGAAAAAGTTAAACGTTTAAATTCAAACACTACTCGTGTAAGTAAAATGTCGGAGCTTCCGAGAACAGTGGAAAAGGGAAGTTTAACCTTTATTATACACTTGACAGGTTCCTCTAGCATCAGGATATATGTACGACGAGGTTGTTTACACATTAAAAATCATTAAACCAAATTCCTTCAAAATTAGCACTTACTAAGTTCGTTTGTAAATTCACCCTCTTCTTCACAATGAAGATTGTGATAGTTCTTATTTTCGTTGCGATTGCTAGAAAGTACCGTAGTATTTTGTTCAATTTGAAACATCGGTACTGTTTTCACGTTAACACAAACTTAAATTTCTAAAACAAGATTTGGAAAAAAAAAACAAAAAAAAAAGGTTTAAAGTGGACTACTTCGAAACACCGTAAATTTAACTATCAAGATATCGAAATTTTGAATATTTTTTTTTAGATATCTTTAAAGATAATCATTAAATAATTAGATGAATGACCCATTGAACATTCCATTTCCTATAGTCAAGCAGATACCACCAGC